ACGCACCATATGGCCCATGGTTATCGGGTCGCCCCCTCCTCTCCTTCTCTCACCAGCCTGGGCATGTGACAAGACATGTTTTCAAACCATTGGCTGCAAATATGTGAGAGGAGGCAAAATGGAGACAGTGATGGTGCTGTTTGGTGCTTACAGTGTTAATGGAGGACCATGCACTGCTAAGGAAGTCTAATGAGATGAGAGGTCTAATCAGGCACATGCCTGAAGTTGTGGCTCTCCAGATGTTATATGTGGTCTGAAACTACTCTCCACTCACCACAAGACCGGTCAGAAACAGCAAGTCTTATTTTGCACCATGGCCAAAGTTTACACTTAGTTAAATTGGAGCATTTATATATATATATATATATATATATATATATATATATATATATTTGACTAACTGTCCCATCAGAGATGACCTCATGCCCTATTTGGGATTGTGAAAGAACTGTACAAAAAGAGGGGATCTGAAAAAGAGGGAAAGACAATTTTTCATGAAACTTACAGTTTTATTATTAATACTCAACACTTTATTTTCATCATCATGTACAAAGAGAAAGAATAATCTTATTTGAGCACTTATAATTGTAGATATCAGTATGATCTTTATTAGAAGTACCTTAACAATGTCTCTGCAGTTTCGTCATGACGTGGTTAACTCTGTTATTGAGATTACTGTATTCATTTCCATACAAAAGAAAGGTATTCCCAGTATTTAATATTTACACAACCTGTACAATTATTTGTTTTTGTTAAGTTTTTCTCTCTGTATGGTGTAAAAAATTTGGCATTATTTCAAAGAAAAGGGCCACAAAATGAGAAAAAGAATGGCCAAGAATAATATTATGTATATCATATTGTATACAATTGATACTATTTATATGATACATTTTTGTCAACCCACAGTAATTTAATTAGTGAATGTGAGTGTGTTTGTCACAATGCGAAATACATTTAGAAGCAACCCCTTATGTGGTGTGATCAGGCAAAGCGTGTAAAAACTGTACAAATTATTCATAGACAGAATACAAACAAATGCACACACGTGTTTACAAATAGATATAAATAAATAAGAATTCACAGTATTTTTTCTTGTCAGTCCGCATTGATGGTAGATGCATTAATGTCAAAAGTTACTTAGAGCGTCCTTCATCCATTGTTGCTGTTTTTGGTCCCCATTTGTCATAAAAACACACCAACTTCAGGATGTTGTTGCCCGCTTATACTCCCCAAGGACGCTCCTTGTGAGGGTGAAAAAACAACACACTTATTTGGCTCTAAAAGAAGCAGAATGAAAATGTGCGTTGTGTCTGAGAAAGGAGGGCCCACAGGGAGAGCATGGAGGGCACAGTGTCAGGTACATGTCCACATACGCCACGCGCTGGACACTGATGTTAGCTGCAGCAAACCCAACAAGTTATGGGTTTAGACAAGGAACTATTCAGCAAAGCTAGTGAGTATTTCCTCAGAGAAAGTGTACTGTTCACAGAAATTCAATAGAGAATCAATGGGCTTTTTCAGCTCAACAAATATTCAGTATTTTTGTGAACAGTATTACGCTTGTGGAGGGTGGACGGAGGAACAGATGTGGTTCTTCTGTGAGGGTCTGTTGAAATCACATATTGCCTGGCCAGTGTCACTTTAAATAAAGTAAAACAAGTTGAAATGTATGTTCATTTCCTTCATCTTGAATATTTATGTGATTTTGTTCATTTTTTCCTGAATATTAAAAATCCCACTCAAATGGACTCAAATGGAGTCATAGTTTGAAAAGAATATAAGAGCAAAAAATGTCCAGCCAGGCACAGACACTCCTCACAGAAGAAGCATGAATAAATGATTCCTGACAGGGACCAAACTACAGCCTATGCACACAGCAGCGTACTAACCATGCGCCTTGTCTTTAAAACAAGCAGGGCACAGCGCCGCCACTGAAATAAAAAAGTGTCAAACAGCAAATAGATGAGCTAAAACGCAGCTCCAGCAGCTGAGTCCCCTGAAGACAAAGCAAACGATCTGCTAATGTTTTTGCTTTTAATAAGGGGTTGCACAAATGCATTTCAGCTGTGAATGGCTTGGCACACTCCGTTCAACAGTACTGTGCTGAGGCTCTCAGCGGTGGCACTGAGCGGACACTGGCAAACTCCAGCATTAGCCAGGAGCATCTGAGTCTGTCAGTGTGTGCATGTGTGTACACATAGTTATATATATTTTATTCTCATTAGCACAGTGATGTCTATCCCAAACAAAGAGTACGAGAGTAGGATAGGCCGGGCCAGAGATGGCTCTAGATTTTGTGTGCAATCACCAGTAGAGCCCTGGTAAATAATTGGCAAACAAAAAGTGATCTTAAGTTAGGAATGCTGCTTAAAAAGAAGAATCACAATATACTGCCTCTATATGATATATCATCTATGCATACATGTCATATTGTATCACATAAATGTGTAGATAATTGGATTCATCTGAAAAAGCATTAAGAGTAGCTTATCTTAAAAATCTAACACAATTCTTGGGTAACTTACTCCTAGAACTAAAGTTTTTCCAGTTGATCACCAAACGTCTACACCTACAGCAAATTAGCCTCAATTGTCAACTTTTGAGTTAAAATAAGAAACAGAATCATTCTTAACAAAGTCAGTATACTGATCAGTAAACTATCATAAATAAGTAAACATGAAATCCAAAGAAAAAAATCTTCAATTATATCACTTATGATTAGTAATGTTTGTGTCTTAACTATATTTTGCATATTTTTGTTCTCATATTTTTATGTTTTGTACTTTTTATCGTATTTTGTTTATATCTTAAATTGTTGTAAAACATATTGAAAGGTACATCCTGTCTGTCAGTTTACTGTACAAAGTGAAAAGAGTTGAATAGATTATTTACAAACAAAGATAATTCACAAACTAATGCTGACACTGATTGATGCCGTCTCCTACTTATTTCCTTGTTGTTTCCCTTCTGTCCCATCTCATGCTGATAATGGCTGACCTGAACCTCCACTTTGTTCATATAAAACTCCAGATTCACTCTACGTGGTGTTTGGAGGGTGGCTCACTTTGATATAAGGCTAACTCCATCAGTCTCTCTTTGACAGTGTTATCTGTGGAGCGAGGGCCGAGGAGGCTGTTGAATTTATGAATAGTTATCAGCAGGTTAGCGAGGGGAAAAACAGCCGTTATCTGTGGTGATTTGCTTCCTCTACACGCGCTCACACTCACACACCTAATATACAGTGCATTTAGATGGGGACATGTGATAGACGTGTGCACATTCCTCCAATCTGAACTCAGTACTCCTGCACGATTTCCCGCAGCCCTTGAACTTGTGACATTGGCAGCTAATCGAAGATCAACACCTTTAAATAACTAATAGAGGCTTCTTGATTCTGTACAGTAATACGATGAGTCATCCTCGCTTTGGGGACAGGAGGGGCGGGGGTTGGGATGATAAGGCATGTCTATAGAGTGCCTGAACCTACACTAAGTAGCGGTCCTGTGCAATAAACGAGGCCTCTCCAGCCTGAAAGGCTTACTCCATCAGTCACAAAGCTTTTTACAAAATGGCCGCCTTGCTTCCAGCAGAGTCAGTATTACAGCCTCACAGCAAAAGACATCCTCCTCAGCTCGTGCTTTTATCAGCATCATCATCATCATCATCTCCTACACATTGGTAGCTTCCTGCCTACATAAACCACACTGCATATTAATCACAGACATTGTCCTAACAAAGAACACTGCACCATTTAAACTGCTTTCATGAGTGAATAGTGAAGCCTTCTGCCAGGTACAAGTGAGAGGCCTAACAAAGTAAGTGCCTGGTGACTATTGTCATGTAACCTGAATAAAAGAGGTGGTCTGTAGGCTGCCATGCAGTCAAGTCTTTCTGTGACAGTGGGACATCCTGAATAACTGTCTGTGACAGCTTCATAAAAGGCTGCCCATACTAATAGGAAATTATTTTACCAAGTTATAAAAGAGCTTTGCGCCAGCAGCAGTAGCAGCAGCTCCTCCTTAAGCTTCTTGAGTGTGCAGTAAATGTTTACTGCACTTTAGGCTCATAAACATGGAGCGAACAGGAGGTTTACTCTGTGCTGCAGCTGGACCATATATGACCTGGAGGAAACATCCACGGAGACCATTAAGGCACATCCTCCCTCCAGTATCTTCAGCTTCAGACCAAACATTTCACAGTAAAACAAGTGACAAAAGTGTGTCCAGTGTGCATTTCATTTAGAGTGTGTACAAACAAACAGATCTAGGATCTACCATGTTTTAAAATCACATTTCTTTCAAGAAGCAAAAGAAAAGTATGAGCATGAAAGTATAAACTCCACTGAAAACAAGTCTTTGTGGATTGTGTTAAAACTAAGGCCAACCATCCTGGTGGCTCTAGGGCTGGGCACAACATGTCACATACTAAAACAGTGAAAGATAAGTGCAACCGGACAGAAAACAAGACCAATGAGATCATTATTATCAATACTAACGTCTTATTCACAATTATTGTTGTTCTTATACCCTGTTTTCTAAACAAAGATCTTATTATCATTCATGATTGTATTTCTCATTGGAAAGTGATGATGGCCATGTGGGGGAGTGGTGAGGAGTGGAGCAACTACACTCCTGTGCACACACAGGGCAGATGGGCAGTTCACAGTCTCCTTGTGACAGCACTCATGTCTCACTTACATCACACGTCCAGTGTTGAACTGAGATGAGGTGTCGCCTCTTCCTGATAATGATTGAGTACATGGACTTGTGGAGCTGAGGCCGAGGGGAATGACTATGTGGAGAAAGTGAAGTAGCTTTGGCCATTTCTGAGAGAGCAATAGTCCCACAGCTCCTTGGGGTGTCCTGATTTTTGAACTACAGAAGTCATGACCCCCTCTTCTTATGTCAGTGGTCCTTGGGACTGTGGACAGTGTTTAATGGAATCATCCCTGATCTAACACTTATGAGTCTATTCCCATCACCCCCTCCTCTCCCCGGCTCTCACACGTCCGACTCGATACTGGACAGTTTCTCATACACATGGCCATTGCTTCCATTGAAGGGTCTAGGGGGACCGACCCCCAGCATGGAGCCGTGGTGGCTCAGTCCCCCCAGGCTAAGCTCTTTGGGGAAGCGAGGGGTAACACTAGACATGACTCCAGATGGAGCAGAGGCCTGTCCATAGGATGTGGTGCTCAGTTGGCTCCTAAAGTCACCTCGACTGTTTTTGGCAACTTGTTGCTGCTGTTGCTTTTTCATATAATATTGTTTGGCGCCATGCATCAAACACTGGTCATCACCAAAAGTAGGAATAAAGGGGTTTTGGTTGACCCGGTCAGGGTACAGAGATTTGGATAAGGAGAAGCCTCCTTCCATAAGTGACCTGTCCCGCATGTCTCTTTCCCCAATGGAGCGTCGATGGGGTCCTTCACCCGCTCTGAACAGACCGAACGGAGAACCTGGCCCTTTGCTCCTGTCCCCTCCGTAAAACAGAGGGTCTCTGTCTCGGTCCCGCTCTGATCCACCATGTCGGTCAAATATGTTTGAAAAAGGACTACCAGTCTCTATGTAGCGCTCCTTCTCCTTTAAGCTAACACTTCTTGGTGGGGGCAGCATTCCTCCCATGCCTACCCCCCCCATGCCTCCCCCTTCACTCAAACCTCCAATCAGGCTGCTCATCACCTCTGTGTCTTCCTTCTGCAGGTCCACAAATGTGTCATAAGAGGCCTGCCGTCGAAGGGGTTTCCCAAAACCACCTTTTCTCCTCTGCTGGGCCTGGGACTGAGGAGCTGCCCCACTTTGCCCTTCCCCCATCTGTTCCAACATGTGGTTGTTATCCTCACTGATGTCATACAGTGTCCCAGTCTTTTTGCAGCCCTCACAGCGCATGCATGTAGCGGAGCTGGGCCGGCTGCCTCCTGCTGAGGAGCCACAGCTCATACCACCATAACCTCCACTCCCATGGAGGGACATTTGTTTGCCCCCTGCACCTCGACAGTTTCTGCACTCCCACTCTCCCCCAGCCAGACCAGAGCCAGCGGTCTTTGGGTCAGGCTTTTTGGGTTTACTTTTGAGGAAGTCATCCACTGGAACCAGCGAGGTGCAGGTGGGGACTCCTCCATCTCTGTTGGCAGGGCCCTCAGTTAGGTCCACATGCTCCCACTGAGGGACACCCTCTTTGGGCCTAAACTGGTCAAGGTAAAAATCTCGAACACTCTCTTTCTCCCTGAAGAGGAAGGTGTTACCATCATTACCTCCTCTTTTGCGCTCCGAGGGCAGGACAGGCGGTGGTGAGATAGATCGATGGCCATGGTAGTGATGGTGGCTTATGTGGTAGGGCTTCCTCCTGTACCCAAGCTCAATCTCGTCCAGCTCCCGTCTGGACTTAGCTGAGGCGGGCCTCTTCTTCAGACTATCGCGGTACTGTTTGCGTTTCTTGGCGTTGCCCTCTAGGTTCCCATATGTAACAGTATGAGTGGAAATATCCGATCCATCCGACCGAATATTGCCATCTTCTTCACCTCTACCACCACAGTAGCTATGTCCTGGGATGTACGTAGAGCTGGAAGCCCCTCCTTTAAAAGAGAACTTGCCATAGACATCGGGCAAGGCACTCTTGAAGCCCTGGCTGGAAGGAGGAGTCTGTGGGAGCAGGTCAAACTTGCTCATGTTTCTGTGGGTGAGTGCTGAGCAGGGCTGTGTAGTGAAAATGGGAGCCACGCCTCCTCCCAGGCTCTCGCAGTCGAACATGCCCCCCTCCAAGGAGCTGGCGCTGCCCAGACTATGAGGTCTGCCCGGAGGAGGCCCACTGAGACCCAGAGAAGAGCCGTGGTGGTGCATGTAGTGGTCCTGGTACAGGTTGCTGTCTTTCATGTGGAGATTACCAAACGTCCTCTCCACCTCGCTGATGTAGTCACTAAACATGTTGTCCTCAGGGAGATAAGGGGGCTTGCAGTCTGAGTGTCCAGCCAGGCTGCGGCGGTGCTCCGAGATGTCGTAGACAGAAGACTCTCTGCGGATAAAATCCAGCGCACTGTGAGGGGAGCCATTCACCCCGGACAGCGAAGCCATGTTCTTGGCCGTGCGTAAGAGACGCATGATGTTGGAATGGGTGTTGTTCATTGTGGCAGATGGTGAGTTCAATGCTGAGCTGCTCTTCTCTTCAATCTGGACCCCGTGTATGCAGCTGTAGATGCCCTGTAGGGGAAGACAACAGGCAGAGTTATCACTGAGATATACCACATGAATAAAAAAGACACATTAGTGACAGATGAATTCTGGGTGTGTACTTGTACTAATGTTTTCACCCTGTAAAATAAACATTAGAAAAAAGCAAAAGCATAAAACTAATTTGCACTTCAGCCAATAAGTTTAGAAGTTTAAGACTAAAGTAAAAGAGCTCTGTGGGCTAATGCTGTCAATATTCTACAAAATCAGTAATGAAGGAGTAATAATAAAAGTCCTAAAAGTGCGCATTAGATTTTTTGACAGAACCAGGGCGCACAGAGGCAACAGCAGCAGCAGCATTCAGGAGATAGTGTAGTGGGACAGCACATGATGGATAAAGGCACAGGGGCTGTAAAAACCCCTGAGTCCAACTGGTCAATACCTTGAATCAATGTGATTAGAATTCAGCCCAACAATATCCTGGGGCAGTTATTAAACACCTCAGTAGCAGTACGCCTTCCTCAGCACAGTCAGCAAGCCCTGGGAGACGCCATCTCTACCATCCTCTGACACCAAGACAAACGGCTCCATTTGCATTCAGTGATGTACCATACAATATTCAGATAAAAATGGGAGCGAAGTGGGGACAAACAGGGCATGACAGATGGGATGTCCGGGACTCAGATCAATTAAAAAAAAAGATTTTACTTTGTTTCTCAAGGCATTTGGGAAAGTAAATATGCGTCAGCGGTCATCTTTTCAAATACAAAGCTGACCCTGCGTGACCCTTTAGTAGTGTTGAGGTCAAGAACAAGACTCTGCTCAAGGGTCAAAGTTCAGGCAGCTGTCAAATGGTCTATCTTAAGAGCCACTGCTAAGCTATGGCTCCTCCTCCTGTTCTGCGAATATGACCCAGGCCTCTTTCTCCCTGGACACTGATTTCAGCCAGTTAATTATCTTAGCTGTATGGACAATCTGCATTGCACCAAACATTTCCTCATCCTTCGTTCAGTGCTTGGATAATGGCATTACTTCTTATAATTTCACACTCTGTTTGCAGCAGAGTATGTAAAGCTTGTCTAGAGAGGTTAGCATAACTACCTGGAGAGCATGCTGGAGATCATTTGTGAAATATGTAAATAAATGCACACTCCCACCTGCATGCTTTTAGCACTTTTTCCCGCTGCTTATTGGAATGTGGCATCTCATCTGTGCTGTCAGTTTACATAATTATCACTCTATCCTTTTGTTTGCTTTGTCCTAAATTCACCTGTCCTCTTTGGCTTGGCTAGTCTACGGATTGTCTCTCCTTGGTTGGTTTTGACCTTAAATTTGGTGATGTTTTCTTTCTAAGACACTATAAATAAGCAGCAGACATGAAGAAGGTAATAACATCGGACATTTGTCAAAGTAGTTTGCTGCTCTGTATTCAACAGAAAGGTGGTTTGCTTTGTAATCCTTTACCGCCTAGGAGTCTGAGGAGTGTGGGATTTCACTGGTGTGTGAGTGGAGCTAAGAGAGGACACGCATATGCAAGAGTAACAATATCCACATCTCATGGTATAAAATTATTACAGTATTCACCTCATGGCACAATACTAGTGTTTACTGCAATATTCTAGGGAGGCTTACAAAATTACAGTTTCTCCCTTTAAAATTTCTGACAAGTTGTTAGTGTTACTATTACTTTCGTATTTAACCAGATTAAGATTTATAACACTTGACTACCCTGAAAACTAGTCAAAATCACACCAAATGCCTCTAGTTGGACGCCTTTGCATTTGAGGACAAACGCTTGAAACACATTAACGTGAGGCTTTTTTCAGCAAAGTTTAAAATTTTCAACTCTGACTCAAATGTGCAACATGAGAGCTCAAAAGCCTTGTGACCACGATAATACTGCATGACGACACAAAAGAATAATAGATCCATAATGAGTACTAACAACTTTTTCCATATACAAAAAAAAAAACACACAGCAGTTGAGTCATCTTTTTCCACAATATTCACAAATTCACTAAGTTTTAAGTTACCCACATTTATAGACCTCTAGTTGACTCTGCATGTCAACATTATAATGAAGGACATATTGGTGCTCATTTTCATTTATTTGGGCAAGAAACAAACAAACTACTGAGAACATAATGTTTTATACACAGAATTCAGAAAGCCTACAGTCTCAACTCCCATCTTAAAGGGTGTGTGTACTAGCAAAACATGAAGTGAGTAATTACTGCCCTAATACATTTACCGTTCTCATCTAAATCAATATAATTAATTAGTAGCAGCAGTGCAGGTGGGGCAGTGGGAGCAGGTAGCCGAGGGAGAGAGGAGTAGACCGTTAAACCTTGTCCGACAACACGTGATGCAGGCCAACCGTGACAGATGTTTCATTTTTTACACTGAGGGCTTAAGCATTAATTGTGGTGATACGTTTATTGGATTACGCTGTGAAATTAAAACAGCAGAATCAATTGTGGTGGCAGAGCAGCAGTGGAGAGAACAGAGAGAAATGGACCATGCAAGAACAGAGGAACAGTCTTGGGAGCACTGCTTACACCTCTGGAGGAGTCAGGTGGGTTGATCAGATGAAATTTCAAACTGTGTGTGTCATTGCAGTAGGGCGAAGAATTGAATTTTAATCAAAACTGTTATTCAGTTATTTCTAATCATGAATGATATGCTTGGGTCTTTTTAATGGAGGGTTCTACAGCTAATCCTCTGTCAGTAAGAGCATGTGATTAAAAGGAGAGTTCAGATTAGGGTTTTCATAATTAGATGAAATATAGTTTAATTGAAAATCATGACTGATCAATATGAAAAAAACAAAAAAATCATGAGGATTTTTTGGTCAATTGCCCAGCCCTACAAAGCAGTCACAGAAGAGTATTAGATTTATTAAAGACTGTAAAATAACTCTTATTACTGTAGCACTGGATGTAATGCTGTGCTAAGCATTATACAAAGATGGAACGTTTGTTGTTCTACAAGGTCCATCTCCCTTACTATGTACTATGATAATGAACCCTCTCAGTGAACGTCTCCTTTGAATATTTTAACATACTGAATAATGGGGTTGAATTGGTCCACACACGCGGCTGTCACATTGTTGCAAAGACAAAAGTCATTTCTGTAAATGAGACCGATCGCTGAATGTTGCACAACGCATAATTACCGCTGGAATCAGGCCCGTACATATTCTAATGATGTAATAATCAAAAGCAACAAAACCCAGGCCTGTCTGTGGAAATGAGAAGTCAGCTGACATTTCACCGACCGATATTTTATGCATCTTTCACACAAATGAGCCGAGGACACGCACACACAGGCGTAAACAAGGCAGCATAAAATTAACACCAGAGAAAATAATCAAAGTTGGGCACTGGAGCGGAATATTGCATTGGAGAGGAGAAAGTGTGAGCCTGGGTTTTCCACTGTAGCCTTGCACTGGTTTGGCTATAGAGGTAAAGGCTGCATATCAAGTGTTATAGGAAAGCGCGTGCACGGTGTGACTCTGTGCTGTAAATTAGCCACGTGCTCTGGCCTGCAGCGGTTCACCTTCAGAGCCACAGTGAATTACACTGGAGCCATGTCAAAACAATTGGAATGCAAATCAAATACCTCTGGGGTGACTTTGGTCTCCTGAGATCCAGTAATCTACCCTCTCCAGTTCTGTGCTTCAGTTCTGTTGAGTGAAATATTGATTTCGGCTCAACATTTTGTAAATATTTACCCTCGTGACACGAAGAAAGCCTGGTTAAGTGTCAAAACAAAAGGAGGCAGCCTCTCTATCCACGTGGACTTTACCAGTGTTGCAGAACAAGCCGTAAGAGCAATTTTAGATCATCTTTAATCTTAAAATACTCTCTAAAAGATAATCTTTGAAGTGTAATGTCACTTATTCAAGTGAAAATAAACGCAATGAAGCTGAAAATGTCAAGTACGAATTGTGTAGGTGACTTAGTAATGAAGAGGTAATTTAGCAGAGCGTCTTTTGGGTCAGAACTAATAAAATATCAATACCAATACCAATACTTTGTACAGGAAAATTTTGGAATGATGCCTACTCAGTTATTGTCACTATATTGGGATATCCTATTCTCCTATCCTATCCTATCCTATCCTATTCTTAAAACACAATTGGCTGTATGTATCCTGGACATGTCACTGGGAATACTGGAAGACTGCAAAAAGGCCATTAACAAAAATGGTATGAAAGATCTATAAGTAATGCCAGGATGGAAATTGTGAATGGAGTGAGATGAAGTTCCTGTTCTCACCCTGCTTATAGAGAAGACAAATCCAGGCTGTCCTGAACACACGCCCATGAAGCAGAAGCGCAGCTGCCAGTAGAACCAGTGCTCGCAGATGAATGTGATGAGGGACAGAGCCATGGCAGCGCCCAACATGTAGAAGACTCCAGCCATGTTGTCCACGTCCAGCTGGCTGGACATCACCTCGTTCTTCTCATGGTGGCAGATTCCAGTCAGCCACAAGGATTCCAGCTCCTCCATCTCACCTAAAGGGAGTGCAACAAACTATCAGCAATCCAAAGACAGCAGCATAAAAAATGACCAAGTATTTCATGAGTAAGGTGCAATAGTATTTATCACACATAATATTACCCTCAGGTCTAGACATTGCTCTTGGTGAAAGGACAAAGATGAAGAGAGGCTGAGGCTTAAATCTAGAGTTGCCCACTAAAATACAACTTTTAAAGGGTCCATATTAACACTATTTTCTTTATGTTATAATGTTGTTTCCGCATTAAAAACATACCCGGAGTTGTGTTTTGTTTCTTTCACACATGTTTAATACACAACCTCTGCATATTTAGGCTGAGCTCTTCTCTTCTGTGGTAATACAGGAAGTACTCCAAAGTGTTTTAAAACTCCATACACCTTCAGTAGAATCATTTGGATGATTTCATTACCAACCTCTACCAATCTCTTCTCAACTAAAGGTAAACTTTGAAAACTATGACTACATGACATTGCAAGGTGGAATAGAGAATTTTGTGCCTTGGAGATGTAGACTGACTTATAATAAAGAATTACTCAAACATGTGTGAATGAAACAAAACACAACTCCAGGTATGTATTTGACGAGGTAACAGCATTATAACATGGATTAAACCTGACAAGAGTCAGTATTGTGTAAAATAGGACCTTTAACAGACTCCAGTTGTGATTGAAAACGTTTTTTGACCTCTTCCATAAATCCGTATCCACATCTGTATTTGCAATTCTGTTCGATTTGATGAGGTAACATGTCAGAAACCAGGTAACAGGAGCAAGAAAGTAGCGAGAAAAAGCCAGAACAATGGCAATGATGAGTTTCACATTACAGAGGGATTGAATTAAAGGCTGTTAAAAGATAAACTTTAAGAGTGAAGAGTATGATGTAATAAAAGATGGAAATGGAGGACACAGAGAGAATGATGCAACACAAGGGAAGAAGGCACCCAGACGGGAAGGAGCAGGGCTGATATTTGCAGAGGAGAAGCTGAACAGGAAGAGACACACATGCCACTGGTCAAATGTTAATTACATCGATCCTATTTGCTGCCATTTGGCTTATGCGCAGTGTGCCAGGGAACACAGCATTAGGAATGTGTAAGGAGGAGCTATGTAGAAGGATGGTCCCTGAGCCTGGCTACTCTTTGTGGGTCACCTTCAGTTTCATCACGGGCTGCTCTATCAAAGCCGACTGGTGCGGGACAGACGCTGCTTAATTAATCATCCAGTCAGCTGCTGTCTCTGCACATCAGCCCTAGTGTGGCAGCAACGCATTGGTATGATCAGAGCTGAACAAAGCACTGTAGCCTCTCAAATTGGACTGGGATGTTGTCTAAACTATTAAAGTTTGCATACAGTGGTCTGGAGTGTACGGAAAAAAAACGAAACAAAAAAAACAATGCCAAGTGAATTGTCATAATACCCTGTTACATCAAGCTACTAGAACAAATGAAAGCCTCCTCAAGAAAGCATCAAATCTAAAATCAGAAACTACATCTGGATTGTTTTGGGTCATTATCACTGACTGATCATATAACGCAGAGGCTTTGTAAATTGTATTCCAGATCTCTGGTGACTTGGTACAGGCTACTTCATGAATGTGAGTGTGGACTTTCTAGGCCAACAGGAGGTTGGTGAGGCGTGGCCAAGTGACTTTGAAATCCTGAGAGCACTAAGACAGGATGTGTGTAGAGCTTGTGTTCTGATGTGTTGCTGAGATGTATGCAGTGACATAATAAGAAACACAGTGATCTATTGTATGTTGCTTTTACCGTTAATTATTAGTGTTCTGTATGTAGGCTGATATAAATAAAGTGGTGCAATATTTCTGTCTGTTTCACACGGTACATGCCAGAGGCTGACCCATATTCACACAGTGTCAAAATGCACCAGGAGCTATGCTGGCACCCCTAACTGGGACGCAATATAGTGGGCCCCTGAGGGCCCGTGGTTCTGGATGCTCACAACACACTGGATCAGACCCAACTTAACTAGCTACAGCTCATCAAACTTCCATTGCATTGTCCTGCCTTAGTTGTCATGTAGTGTATATTAAAATGGGCTATTATAAAACAAGACTGTGGAAGCAGAGTAGGCGTCAGCTGTGACATTTGTGTATAATTAAGAATTTCACATAAAGTGAATAGTGTTTGGTTAGATGGCTCCAGCACATTACATTTCACTGGTGGCTCGGTCTCAGATTCATTAATGTTGCTACTCAATATGACAGGAAAGAAGTGCAGTTCAGAAGAACAAGCCCCAGAGAGCTTCAGACATTCTCCCATAAAAGGCAATCTCTATCGTAAAGTATAGGCCCCCAACAACACAGTTGAAAATCACATTACAACTCAGCGCTGTCTACACAAGCCGTTTCTGGAATTAGAAACGAAGGCTATGGAATTTATCACAACAGCTGTAAATGTTGTCTTTTTAAAGGGATGCCAGCTGACTAATTTAAATGTGTTCAGACAACCCACCTGCTTCAAATAAAATCATAAACCTAAATAAACTTCTGCTAAAAGTAACAATTAAAGTGTATGTGACAGATTATACATTTATTCTACATGCTGAGTGGAGTATACTGTACATGGTATGGATTTTGTTTGCTGAGTGCTTTCATTTACACAAGTAAAAGATGGAGGCTGCTCCTTACCATCTCCAAACAGCTGAAGAATGGCCAGGTCCACATGTCTTTTCCAAAGCGACTCCTTCTGGATAGCGATGCCATAGCCAGTGGTGGCAAAGATGTAGCCACTGCCAATGGTCACCAGCTTGCAGCCCTCATCCCTACCAGCCATGTAGTTCAGCACGGCTGCGTCGTAAATGAAGGCATCTAGTTTGCTGTTGAAAAAAGAGCACGGAAAATATAGGTTACAATTAATTACCATTTAGAAGCAAGACATCGCAGCTTCACCATTCCAATTAACTTGCTAAATAGTGCTAAGCTGCTGATAAGTGTAATAGACTTCCGCTTGGTTTGCCAAAGGCTGGAGCTGGCACACAAGAGCTAAGAGGAACAGTTGATGAAACCGTGGTGGAGAGAAAATAGTTTGGACTAATTTTAGGTTATCATAGACAGATTGAGTGGATGTGTGCTCACGCTGATGTGTTTTAAGATTAGGCTGTACTGTATACAGCAGTCCTCACCCGGCTTTCAGACTCTGCAGGGCCTCATTCACATTCCTCTGATGAAACTTGGTCATGTATGAGTGCATCTCAGGATAGTTGTTCCTAATGTTCCTCTCTGTGCTGCCGTTGGGGACTGTACCAAACCGGAAGGGGGGTGAAAAATCATTGGGACTCTGGAACTAAATAACCGGGAAAATTCATGTTAATAATATGCTGTACTGTTAAAATGAAAAAACAAAAAACAAAAAAAAAAAACAGAGTTCTTTGTTACCTTTTTGTCGGATAGACCTGTCACCTGGTCTACATACTCTTCCTGGATCATGAAAGCAGCCAGGTTGGCAGTGTAAGAGGCCAAAAAGATGACAGCGAAGAAGGCCCACACAGACACCATAATCTTACTGGTAGTGCCTTTGGGGTTTTGCACAGGAACAGAGTTGTTGAAGACCAGACCCCATAGAAGCCATATGGCCTTACCGATGGTAAAGGAGGGCCCGTGCGGCTCTGAAAGAAGCACAGGGCACTGTTAGACTTTTTGCACACACACATACAGCAGCACACTGCCCTACTGCAGCCATCTCTCAATAGGGCTGTGTATGTGCAAGAACCACAGAATAACTGTGTGGGAATGCGTAAAACTCAGGCCGGTGTGGGTGTACATGACATAAGTCTTTGTTCTTGAAAACCCAGCTTTGACTTGAACCTCTTAGTGAAACTATAACATTTAAAACATTATTTGTAAATAAAAAATATATTTTCTGGAAATCCAAAGGCTAGAGTTCCACTAAGAAATAAAACACCAAAGACACAAGGAGGAGCACATTTCTTCCAGAACATGATGAAGGATGAGAGAAATGAAATAAGATAGACGTGGTTATATATAGCCACATCAGAGATGGGAGCAGTGGGAAGACATTGATTTTCCCTTTTTGTTTCCCTTCGTTTCTTATCTTTTTGGCTGCAGAGATCTAACACAGCACCACAACCCGACTGTCAGGGTTGACATGTGATTTAAGGAAATATGGAAATAAATGCAAATAGTGTTATTAAGAAAATCTGCAAGAACTCTGTGCTTAGAGACACACCTGTAAATAACAGAGAGGCTGAAGCGGAGGAGGACAAAAGAATGAGTCGGTCAGGCTGCTGTGTGATTGCACATGTTCTATGCTAATCGTTGTGAATGGAAAAGTCTGAAGCAACTCAAAAATACTTTAAGGACAAAAGCATTAATCTGCAATCTGTCTGTACCTGTGCCGCCTTCCACTACATTACTCATACAGCACTTTTGCTTAAGAACTGATCCGCCCACTGACATACTAAATTCCCAGTTTGTTTTCTAGCTTACAGACATGCACACTTGCAAACATGCACATCATATTTCACTCAAGAGCCAGAAATAAATAACCTTATTACCGCATGGTGACTATAATGAACATGAGAAAACAAGTTATTTGTTAAATAGGAGATAAAAATGTATACAGGCAGACTTTTTGCAATACTCCCATAGACTGTATAAAAAAGTAGACTAAGCGAGTGTGACGTCACCCAAAGTGTTCAGCTCCATTCAAATGAAGCTTGCGTTGCTGATGGTTACAGGGGCGAATTTGGAGTCAGGCTCTATATTATGAATAGGATTTTTTAACGGACAAAATAGTTGCAAAAAAACACCAGGTTCAAGTAGAGTGGGTTAATACAAACATTTTAAGATGAAAATTATGAGGCTCACTGCAGCATTTACAGAGAGAGGGCTCACAATATCCTAATGTAAGTCAATGAGAGCCAGGGTCAGTAGGAGCCGGAAGAGCCTGCATGTTCATTTATTATTTGGAATGCAGCAGCTAGTGTGTTAGCTATGTCCATTTAGATATACAGTCTATGAATAATACTCCTGAGAAACATGAATACTGTAGTTGCTTGTGCTGGTCGATGTCTCATATGACGTAAGATGTGTGACGTGTGTAGGGCCGCTGTGGGTCATCTACATTCACTACAGTAGCAGCAGGTAACTGTGTGTGAGTGGAGCTCACTCACCTCGACCATCAGCCAGACAGCGGTTGTAGCCCACAGGGCTGAAGTATTCGAACACAAACACAGCCACTGCTGACACCAGCAAGAGCATCACGAACATCATCACCCACACATCTGCACTGAAGGGCTCTGGAGGGCGCAGCACACATGAAGGCAGAACAGAGAGCACATTGGGGGAGGGGGCAGAATAAACAAGGGGTGAGACAGAGAGCAAGGGAACCAAAAAAGAGAGTTAGAGAAATATGAAATATGCAAATATTGTGCAGCAGATTGAGGAGAGGAAGGATGAGTGAGAGAAAATGAGTAGGAGTGGGAAATGTAAGAGCAGAGGGCAGAGAGACACAAAGTGAATAAATACGTTGAGCATATTTTGTGTACTCAAGTGCCCCTTTAGAAGTGAAAATACAGCCATGCTAGCTTCTCACTGCTTTCTAACTCCCTGTTACACATTAGTAACATGACATACACACATTTCAAAGACAAAGCCTGATCCTTCTAGCACCCTTGAACTGGTCTGTAACACCCTCCCCCGGCTCCTCATAGATGGACAATCCTCACCTAAGAAGGCTGAAGGCGAGACTGTGCCGTTGCTCCGAGAGACCATAACACTGATGCCTGTTTCAATGAAGGGCACGGAAAAGTCAATGACCTCTGACCTCTCTTCATTAATGGTCAAGGAGCCAACAGCCATGTGCGCGTTCTTTACCACCACCTATAGTTCAAAGAAACAAAAGAAAATGAACTACTATTATTAATCCACAAACCCTAAGATGGACAAAAGAGACGTTTTCAAATCCTGGAGAGAGATTTTAAATTTGTTTTTTACATTAAATGTTAGGATAAATAACACCAAAAACAGTCAAATATACAATTTAACAAGATTTTTTCTTATGTTCAACTTGAGAACAGACATCAATTTCTTTTTGGCAGAAAAAAAAGAAAATGGGCACAGAGAAAACAAAGCAGGTAGAAGCAACATGAGGCCATCTCAGAGAAGTTGAAGTGGACACTGAATAACGACAGAAGAAGTAGGAAGAAAATGGGTTACTGCAGTGGGTCACGACTGCTCGAAATAGATGCCCCAATGATTCTCCTGCTCCTCTACCTGCCCCCTCCCTCTTGTACCTTGGCAAATGTGGTATATTTAGCCCCAAATTTAGGAGCCTAGAGCATGTGGAAGAAATGGGACAGGACTGTGATAGGGCACTTGTATGAGTGATCTCTCTTCTTCACCTGTGACCAAGCCTCTACAGCCCTGATGCATGCGGTATTAGCTTTCTAAATTGTGCATGGAGGTATTTTCAGCTCTTCATATTTGCTCTGTAGAACTGTAATGTGAGTGAGTGAATGTCTCTCCGGGTAAGCCAGCAAGTCCATCCAGCAGTGTACTCACTTCCTCTCCCTGTGTTTGGCTCACTCCAGCTCCCTCCCACATCTTGTTCTCGCAGCGCTGTGAAAGTGACCCATGTGGGTGTTATTGAGAATGAGTGTTCGTGTGTGTTCGCGTCTGGAATGTCTTTATGTGCCTCTGTCAGTAAGGTGGAATCTATGTAATCAAGTTTACCACCTCTAATTGTTTTTATTCCAGTACAGGTCAGCGGTATTTAAGATCAGGTGACTATGACATGTACAATCTTTTTTGTGTGTGTTTTGTTTCTGAGGCTTTGCCAAAGAAAACTGTAACATCATTGGGTACTCTGCAGAGGTTTGGTGAGTCTGGCTCCTTCTCCATTAAGAGACTGAGTTCTGGCCCACTTCCAAACTCACAAAGACATGAATTGATCTGGTTAGACAGAGCAGAAAAGGAAGCAAAGTGGCATATGTATGCTATCTGCACATAGTTGAAATGACATGATGTTTTGAGGCTGACCCTCAGGAGACATGGTCAGTACACTAAGCCATACCCCTTCTCCAGAGTGACCAGTGATCTGTGGAGGTGAGAAGGGCACTGATACGCTTTTAGCTTGACTAACTTTATTGCAGAAGACCATTATCAACGTGCAGTGCCTAGTGACCATGGGCTGACCGACATGAAGAATTGATATAACACATGGAATGTCCATGTACATTAAAAATTACTTTGGTGAAGAAGGTCTTCATAATCTTCATAATCTTGTGTGAGATAGCTGAAGGTGATTCCAACTTGTCAACAGGAGGATAGACAGAGTGCCTCTAAACCCCGTGACCTTTAGGGCTCTATTGATCTGTTTGCCTTTTCCCTTCATTAACAAAGCCAAAGTCAGGCCAAGAGCAGACAGCTGGCACAGGCTGAAGTATGAGAGCTGACAGGCAGCGTACCTGGAGAACAGTGGTCATTGGAGACTGTTTAGGGTCCTAAGTGAAATGTCGCAGCTGAATGAACTGCTGCACCCTTAGGTAAAGTGCTTAGCCTAGATGACACGAGTGTCCTGCCTGCAGGGCAGAGGCTTGACCCAGAAAAAAACGTCATAATTCAAGGTATGAAAACACACTTCAAAGAGGAAATGAACCTTTCAGGCAACCTCTGTGAAAACTAAAGATAGCACTGTACAGGGCTATAGGGTTGTTTGATAACTGTATGTAAGTGTGCACCCTGAACGATTCTTTCCCACAAAATCAGTTTAGTTTACAGTAGCATTTTTTTCCTTAATCTGTGCCCAAATGGCTATGCAACATTGCTGAATCCTACATGTATCACTGCTAAGGAAAAAACTAGAACTATGTACGTACAGAGTTGTTGACGTGTATGAGGGAGTGTATGACGGAAGGATAATTTTTGCAATCTAACTAAACATATAACACAATAAAAAGTTCAGTGAACCTGTATCCCAGTGTCCTCACCTCTCCCACCATGCCATTCCATGTGCCATTGATCTTCTTGCCGTGTTTGCCGTTTGTGACCAGGTAAAGGTCGTAGGTGAACTTGACAGTCTTGGCGATCTTCTTGAGGATGTCGATGCAGAATCCCTTACAGCAGCGCTTGATGTAGATACCCAGCTCCTTGGTCCCATTGCTGCATAGGCACATAGACAGACAGATAATCGTTTAAGTAGCACCTCCTGTCTGAAATGACCCCCAGCGTTAATTGTGCTGGTGATTTGGTGAGAGGGGCGCTGTCACTCTGGCACTGATGAGGTGTGAGCTCATTGGGCTCCTGGCTCTGTTCAAGCTGCCACGGGACATTAACATCATTACAGGACATATTGCACTTGCCAGGTGTTCTCTTCTTTGTTGGCTACTTTTAAATAGATGTGGGTCAGTGAAAGATTCTGACAACCTGATAACCTTAAAGACACTAAGTCAACATTACATTTTAGCGCTGAATTAGAAAGTGCAACATTTCAGAATTGGTGTGAAGTGTTGGTTAACAGTGAGGAGACCATTTTGGATTGATATAGAACATAAAAATAGATTATATGTATGATTAAAGACAATCACCACAAGTTCAATAATATAAAAAATACACAAATATTAAAGTAGTGATCCTTACAGTCCTTTGACCTGCTTGCGGCAGGGCACAGTGTTTCGCATACAGGTGCCGCTAAGTGGATCCACGTCCTCTACAATGACAAACGGAGCCTCCTCCAATGTCACAATGGACAGGTGGTCATCCTCCCTGGTCGCCGCACCCCCGTACAGTTCATAGCGAGGCCACACATGGTATTTCATGGACAGGGAGCCGTTTTCCCACTTACCCACCTGCCGAGGAAAGTAGGACAGACAACATTATGCTTCGAAAAGCAGAGCAGGTAAGATAAAGAAACACAGGCATGGTTAACCAAAGATGTAATGGGAAGCAAGGTTAACCTGAAGGACAAGAAAAACAAGAAAAATGTTACAAAAACAAATAAAACAAATTAGGCGTTAATCCAATCCACTTTATTTAAGTACACACTCTTTTTTTTTTTTTTTAACCTAACTGAAGGATTTAACTCAGGGGTGGGCTTTTTTTTTTCCAAGGGGCCACAAGAGAACAGAAAATATTGTGGAGGGCCAGGCCAAAATGCTTAACTCAATTTTGCAAAATATTAATTATATTTCTTTATAAAAAGCAGTAAATATAATTGTTTTGACGAACTGGTAAGACTGGTAAGAGTTTATGTTATGAATAAGCAATGAAAAAGTGAGGTTGCCTTACAAAAAATGTCATTAAAACAAAACACCTCTAAAATAAAAGCAATGTGGCTTTAGTCCATGCATGAGGTAAAATTATAAAATACATTTATTTTGTCAGAGTCAACCAAAGGACCGTATGTGACCTGAGAGCTGTACAATCCCCAGGTCTGAGTTATCCTATACTGCCCTGATCTTAAGTTGTTTGGAAAACTGAGAGACCAGTTCACCCAGATTCAAGAAGAACATGCAAATTTCACACAGAAATCCACTAACCATAAGGTCTCTAATCCATAGAGGGTCTTGTGGACATTTGAAGAGTCCTTGTGGCCAAAGTAATGAGACATAACCCACTCTTAAATCTCTCCTCCTAGTGGTGTCAGGATTCATGTAACAGCCTGGGATTCTGCTGTCCTTTTTAATGACTAATAGCTATATTTTATGTGTCCATTAAAATACACAGCAATAGCAAGCTTTGGTACATTATAGTATTAGCTGTAAGGCATCACTTAGAGTACAGTGGTTCTCATTAGGAGAGAGACACCAAGACACATGCCTCTAGCCTCCTCTGTGAACTGCTGCTAATGCAAGTCCGCTGCTTCTCAAAGTTGAAGTGAAGGAGCAGCTAAATTAGAAATGTGTTCTTCGGGGCATTTTAATTTGAGATAAACTTTAGAGAGAGTTTGGTTAAGAGGTATTAAGAGTTTATTTTTTATTTCCAAATGTGTGTACTCCAACATTATATAAATGATTCACATAAATCCATCACATTTAACATTAATATGCTTTTTGTTTTGGAATAATGAAAGCCATCAATGACCTGTACACTAGACAATTATCCTGTCACTAAGAGTCCCTGATCATTTTAATCCTCATGTTACCTAGAGGTGAACTTTTGGTCTTGCCCCAGAATACACTGGCCACTTTTATCTGTGGCTGCAGAAAGACATGGAAACGGACCATCAGCTAATTGGACACACTAGAGTAATGGGAGCTGGGGCAGGACAGAGAGCTGTGGCCCAGTGTGTAAAATAAGGTCTGCACAGTCTTTAAATATGCAAATGCACACACATGCACACTCCGCTTCGGGGCGTGCTAACAAACTTGGCAATGCAGCCTGGAGTGGACAAGCTAACACTGTGTATCCCTGGGGCACAATGCTGCCTTCTCCTATCTGGGCGAAAATGCAGAGCCAGACTAAGTGATGGACAGAGAGAAGAAAGAGAACAAAGGAGCAGAAGATGAGAAAAAAAGGGAATTTAGGGTTAAAATCAGCCTGCAGGGGACTAAACAGAACTGGACACAACGCAGTCGACATAACACTTCAATAGGTTGTATAAGCTCAAACTCATTAGGATCCAAGAAAAGTGGTTTGCTGTACAAGTCAGGCTGAGAATTAAACATGAGTGAGGGAGCCAGGGGATGGGGAGAGCGGTCGGCCGAGGAGAAAGGAAGAGAAAGAGAAAGGACGAAGGGAGCCGGGATGGGAGCCATTCACCTTGTTCTCTGATCAGAGGACAGAATTTAGATTAGAGGCCAGAGAAAGACAGAAATACTGGGAGTAAAGAACAGGGAGAGGAGGAGAGCAGGTACAAACATATGCATAGTGTGTGTAGATGGCACACGTCCCTTCAGGTTCTCCCTCTCATAGAGAGTCTGAAGTACATTTGTTATTGTGTTGTCTTTAAAGGTGATCTTAATCATTTTGAAATAACTGTATAATGTTTACTGTTCATTCAATCCACATAAATATAAAAATATATATTTAGACATGAAATGAAAGCAACAAGGTAAACGGTGTAGCAAAGATTATAAATATAAACATAAATAGCCTATTCTACTACTAGTCCATAATAGGTCCATTATTGGTACATGGTCATTTCTTAAACAACCACTGATTCAAAGGCCTAGCAAGCTTTCCACAGCTGTAAAACCTCTGTTGCATATTTGATTCACTCTATGTTGCTTCTGTCAGCAGCAAACATATGTTAACTCTCAAAATGAACTGCGTATTTTGGCGTAGTGCTACTTGGCTGTCTGAGGTGCTGTCCTGCTCAAGGGCACCTTGTCAAGTTGATAATATCTCATCCATATTTTGCTTAAAAGGCTTGGGGTTGGTAAATATTTATGGGAGGAGACACAGAGAGAATACAAGTTAATAATGCAGGATAACTCTAAACTCTCACTATTCATTTTACACCCAAGTATAAAACCACTGACTTCCTAGCATGAAATTAAGAAAAAAAATAATAATCTGGATGAACAGAGCAATGTTTTGAGTGTTTTACAGATACTATGCAAAAAACAAACAAACAAACTAATTAATATGTAATAATGTCTTCATGTAGAGTAGTCTTACCCTGTCCCACTGTCTCTCCTTGTTGAGCAGAATAATGACCAGTTTGGGGTGCATCTGGTATCCGTCCTCACTGAACGACAGATTACGCCCCTCGAACGTCACATTCATCAGGTACCTGTAAAAACAACCCCACAGAGAACGTGTGACTGACTCAGGTACTTGTAAAATCTCCTCCAGAGGGAACGTGTGACTGACTGGGGTTATATTGTGTTACTATAACTTTATTATTTCTGCTTAAATTATGAAATTTGGTTTTACAAGTTCAAACATTTGTCATTTCAATCCATCACTGTGACACACTGCAAATTTATAATGAGATTATTTCAGCTTTTACTTGTTGTATAGATTATTAAACATTAACAACAGTAAGTGGTGATTTTATATGAGGACTATAATACTAGTATAATTACAACTTTTCAGTTTTTTGCCAAAGAAGCCAATAAACAATCCAATCCCAAAAACATATAACTTCTATCTTCTAGGAATAAAGATAATAAAACATTATAAATTCTAAACAGCAAGATTTTGGTTAAAAATATGTTGCTACATAAAATAATCTAGTCTACAATATTCTACAATACAAGCCAGTAGTGTATCTTACTCTCAATTACAACCAGAGAAAGAGTCTATTCAAGAAATACACAAATAAGCCTTCTACTACACTCCCAAATTAGACTTCTTTGAACTGCTCGCACATAAATGTAGAGCACAAAATAGAGCGTACAGTCAGAGAGGAACCATCGTGATTTGTCTGTGAGTAGGGACGTGAAAGAGCAGCTTTGTTTCTGTCAGCTGCGCACTGTACACCTGCTTGTTGCGTTTATCAGTGAATGTTCAAATATATGAGAGCAGTCATGTTTACGTCAGGTGGACACAAGCCACTTCAGTGTCGGACCACGTGTGTGCTCTCTCTACTGCCCTCCCCCAGTCACTGTGGTTGTTTCCATGGCAACGCTTGGCTGCAAAACTGTGCACTTCATATACAATAGGTTAATGAATACTTCAAAAACCAAGAATTGTTTGGGGTGATGTTGTGTATTCACATATTTAAGCTTTTCCATCATGATTTTTTATCAGCTTTAAATGTGCAGAATATATGAATATTGTTTTACTCATTTACAAAGGATTCATGTTGCTGTAAAGATTTTATTTCACTGCCATAAACAGATCAAACTACTGTTTTAAATTCTCTGTCTCACTCCACTTCACTCAACTCTAAATAAAGAGCAAGCAAATTATCCAGTGAGACGAAATGGGACAAACATTGTGTTTGCTATTGTTGTGGTAATGTTCTTTTAAACATTTTACATTATTAAATTGTTCGACTATGAACTGCTATCTGATGAATTAAACAACTCTATTTTCAATAATTTACATAGTGATGCAGCATCACAGTGTCCTTCCACTGAAGTCATGGCATTCACACAAAGAATCTGCTGCAAAAATTGTAAAAAAAAAAAAAATAAATAAAGAAGAAGAAGAGAAGATTCAATGTCTGTTTGATATTTACTGGCAAAGGGATTGTTCCAAAGGAACATTGTTTATGTGTTTGTGACATCTCCCTACATCCTGCATATGCTGACAGCAGGAACAGAGACAAATACAAGCATGTGTGTGTTGCCATGGCATCCACAACTGATCAGCTGAGTTACCATGGTGACGATAATCTCACAGAAGGAGGGGCGACAGAGAGGTGGGATTCAAAGGGAAACAGTAAAGGGACATTACGAGAGGCTCTGCTTAGCGCTCTTAAGTCTTGTACAGTACAGTATCAGGGCTCATGTGACACCTCCTGCAACCCACTGAGCGGTTCCAGCGGGGCGGCTGGTGCTAAGTGCCCTGTTCCCAACTCGATGACAACTTCACTGCTTTCCCTGCCGTGCCAGAGAAGCCAATAAACGCATTCCCAGAGACGCTGGCTCGAGGCAGGCTGCATGCTACGAACACTTCACACATGATGCACTGGCAAAAGCTGCACCAATGTTGTAGCTATTGTTTGGTTCCATCTGTACAGTAGCATACAGCTGGTGTATTAACATTCACAGCGCAACAGCAGCTGTCTCCACCTGGCCAGAGGACTGTACAGGCAGAGCTCCATAACGTCTGCACATTCTTCATCAGCAAATACATTTAAGTGAATCTGTTTCACTTTCCTCCATCTCCCTTGACTAAAAGCTGTGCCATAAATCAGAACAAGTTCACTCACCAGGACAAACTGCTTCCTTGCTATCTCCATGGCCTGACATAGATAGGATTTAGCCATGTTCTGTGTGAATAATGGACGAGTTGTGTGAATATTGAAAAGTCGTTTTTAATAAATTAACCCTGATATGAATTAATCATGAGTTACACTGTTTAGCAATTACCGCACAATGTATTTAATGGCTTTGGTGATAGGGAGTCTATACTCTGAGTGATAACAGGCCCCATATGGCAGCGCACTAGCTGTTGTGTGGAGTAGCAGCACCACATGCACTGCAGGTTTACATGTGAATGTGGGGGAAGGTGTCATTTTGGTGCACATTCAAGTTTGTATACATATGCACCTAGCAGATTCTAGAGCACCCCTGAGGTCCCAAAACAGAGAGACACAACAGAGAAACATGGCAAAACGCTCGGTCATGTCAACTTTTATATTTATATTTTCACTTTTAATCAGGGCTGGACAATATACGCAATAAGAACAAAAATCCCTTTTTTCATACTGAGCTATTTAGATTTTCAATTTGATTATATTTTGTCTTAAAAAGTAAAATTAATTATTGATTTCCTGAGCATAAACAATATAGACTTTATACAGAATACAATATATACAATACAATACATAGATTAGCTGGGAACTGAGGGAAGAAAGTATTGTACTGAAATGTTTTTACCACTTAAATAGTTTTTATGTGTTAGTCCAATAGCTTGAAATGTATAACTAATAAAAACTAATATTTTGAAAGCTGACAGCTGAGGGAATTAGAGCCAAGGGGAACCAGTTCAATGTAGAAAACGATGAAAAACAATAAAAATAGAAGTAGAAGAAACTCAAGTGTGAGAAAAAAGGCTTCAGAGTTAGTGACAGATAAAAGAACCTGCGAAAAACAGCGGTAAGAGGGGGTGGGGTGAGTGCTGGAGGATCCTGACCTACTTCTAATCACAGACTTCTTCACAAACAGGTAGGTTTTCGACACTCCTCTGTGGCCTGGTTCATCAACACACACTCCTCCTCTCTGTCGGGTCAGATGGCAGCTAAGCCGAAGCAGACCACAAACGCAAATAGCCCAGGAAAATTCAAAAATATCCACTCTAGGTTGGACTAGGTTACTCAATACCAGTTCCGATACTATGATGATAATAAAACCACTTTCTTTAGAGAATAGAATGCCGTTTTCAACATTAAATCATAGTACTTTCATTTAGATTAACACAAAGGCTTATATCAGGTTTGCAGTTATTACAAAATTCAGCAGCACATGTCTTGACTAGGACCAGAGGGCGGGACCACATTACACCGGTTTTAAGATCAGTGCATTGGCTCCCTGTGAGTTTCAGGATCAATTTTAAAGTTCTTGGTTTTTAAATGTCTTAATTGTGTTGAGCCTTCTTATCTTTCAGAACTGCTTTTACCCTATGAACCCTTGCTGATCCTGCACTCCTCCAGAAGCAGGCTCCTGGTCATTCCCAAAGTCAGGACACACACTCACAGAGAGGCGTCTTTCCAGTACTGTGGCCCTCATCTATGGAACAGCCTGCAGGAGAACCTCAGGGCTGCAGAGAACGTTCATGTTTTTAAGAGTAGACCCACCTTTTTGGCTTCGCTTTTGATTAAAATTTTATACTTTTACTTGTTTCTATTGTACACATTTTATTATATTTATTTATGTTAGGCATATTTTTAAGATTTACAGTGTTTACTCTGTAGGAGCACTCTGCATCGGGAGCGGAGGTCGGCTGTGGCTGCCGGGTCTGTCCCATGAGCTCCTGGGTTGGTGTAGACGGCTCCTCTGATAGTGCTTTCTCAACTGGTTCGCCCGTATTCAGCCTCACATTTTGTTGCCGCATGCTAGTGTGTGTGAGTGTGTGCATGTGTGCATGTGTGTGTGTGTGTGTGCGTGTGTGTTTGTGAGTGTGAGTGTCTGGGTTGTTTGGTTGTGTGGGGTCGGGCAGCTGTGGGGATTGGGTGGCCGGAAGGAAATGTAGGATTGCTATTAATCACTGTAAAGCATGTTGTGTTACATTTTTGTAAGAAAAACACTTTATAAATAACGTTTGACAGATTGACTGATTGATTGATAACTGTGTATAAATCTTCAGTCGTTTAGGTATTTTCTGTAGTAGTTCATGGGCGTATACTAGTCTATCCTATCTTATACTTGTTCTGATACATCTCAATATCTAGTTTTGATATAGTTTTAGTATCGATTAGCATCTGAATTTCGATACTTTTGACAGCTCTTGTCCTGTCAACCTATAATTCTTTCACTATTGTTTTGCTCAGTGACACAGTGCTATCTTCATTTTTCAGAAAGAAAGGATGTCAAATTGCTGGCTACTCTAGACTTAATTTACTTAAGAGCTGCAGCTGTTGTCCTTCTCTTGTCATAGACTTTTATTGATAACTGTGATAATGTATGATGTTAAAAAAGTATTTGAATCAGCAACAACAACGTCAAAAACATTGCATCAAAATATAGTGAAAAATAGTTTAGACCACCTTAGGCTAATAGATTCACACATTTAACGTGAATCAAATACGATAGATCTGACAAAAAATAAACCTTTTCTGCTGTGTCTCACTTAATCAAAAGGGCAAAAGGCTTGTGGTACAACCAACCACCTCCCATTAACCATCCACTGCTTCCCAGAATATTGACTGTACACCAAATTGTAATATCTTGATTGAGCAGTTGAGGACAAAGGCCATCACCAAACAAATTTAGTTAAAGCAGCGAGGGGCGAAGGATCTTAGCGGCGCTCCTGACTGATCTAATCATCGACACAGCTAAGTCGATTATAAAACTGGAGGTCTTGTGGTGGCAGAGGAGGAGAGACACGGGGAGAAAAGCGGGGGGAGGTAGAGGAATTGCACCCAAAAGAACCAAAACTAGAGGAAAAATGCAAAGCTTCAGGGCAAAGGGGGAGAGGAGAACAGGATATGGCCAGACTTCAGTCAAACAGAGTGTTGAAATGACTTCTGAGGGCTCGGCTGGGACAGATTACAGAGCCTAGCTGTCTTAGAGCAGGTGGCAGGTGAAGCTCAGTAAATATGTGGAAGAAATTGCAACAGTACAGGTTATAGGTAAAAATACAAGAGCAAATGTCTGAGCTTTGTGTCAAAATATCAAATACTTGGTTCATTTAATGGTCATCCTCTATTAAAAAAATCTCTACTCAGATACTAATCAGATATTATTAGATAGGGATGTAACGATATCCAAATCTCTCGATACGATATTCACACAATATCCATCTCACAGTACGATATTTATTGCGATATTTTGTGGAGGCAAAAAATAATAATATGAAATTGTGAGTATGCTACCTTTCTCTTGTCATCCAAAAAAAATTTCAATTTTAAAATGCTTCATAATAGTTAATTCAGCATGTAAATTGGACTGAAACAGAGCAAAGGATCGTGGTCTATGTAGTTCCCATAATTTTTTTGCTGTTGTTGCACCAAAACAATGAATTTAAGCAAAGAGATTTGAGATTCGATATATCGTGATGGCCCATGATATTATTGTGAGACTTTTGACAACATGTAACGATATTTTCATTACTCTTACATCCCTAGTAATAGATAATAATTTGAACTTGAAGTATCAATATAGAACAAAAAGAGGATAGCATAGGAAAATAGTATCACTTCTGAATAGTTTTTAATAGTCTATATCAGAACCAAGACTAGAATCTGGATTTCATTTGGATTTTTGTAGACACATTGATAGAGCTGAGTTGAGTGGTGCCTGTTAGAGGACACAAAACATTTCTGAGCTCTTGACAGTGTTTAATATTCTCTGGCTGGTAAGAATGAGTGGGACTTAAAGATTGTGACAGCAGCTCCTATACAGCTGTTTCTTTTGTTTCTTTTATTCTCAAACACACAGATCCCCCAGCTGCGGCAGACCTGGAGTGGCAGAGGGCTGACACGGACTGTGTACACAACACTGTGGTGAGCTCTGAAGCGCAGCACGACGGGGGCTACTGTTCTCCCACTCAAACGCCATTGGGACCAATTAGGCAGCGCATGGACCAAAGCGACAGCGAGCACTGCGCCTCACAACTGGTTCAAAAGAGCTGGGGTGGAGACGGACAGCTGAGGGGGCGGGGTCTGACTTTCCTGGGGATGGGGGTGAGTGAGTGGAGAGTGTTATTACATAGGGGGTGGATGATGACAGTATGCAGAGGATAAAGGTGCACTCATGTGAACGCCTCAGCAGCTGTACACTGTTATTGTGCTGATGTGCTTTGTGTGTTGATATTACACCAGCTGGACCTGTGAACTTATTTAAAAGCTGCTGAGTGGAGATTTAAACACTCATAAATCAGTGTCTTTGTCATTTAGGGGGATTACAGAAGTCATTAAATTAGTTTTACACAATCATATGAGGCTATACCACTAAACTCTGTGTCTCAAAATGTTCTATCTCTCCTCCACCTTTGTATATTTATTTGATGTCCTGAGGTGTTGTATCCTTCCTCTGAGCTTGCTCCTTGGTCTTAAGGATTTGGCTTTGAGCTGAAAAGTTAACTGAAACTCACATGCACCAATAGGTAATGCAGCATTACAAATGCAATTATCTGTAAATGTCTCACAGTATAAACTTCATAAAAACAAGGTAAAAGTTTTCCATCAAAAGCACACTTCTTTTTTGTAGCTATCTCTCACCTGAGCACTTCGTTGGGGTTGCCTGAGATTGGGGTCTTCTTGTCCGGAGCTCCATGGCACTCGGACTTGAGAAGTGTGTGCGGGCCGCGGTCCATCATCATGGTGGAGGTGGCCATAGTGATGATTGCCACCCCATCGCGGACTCGAGCCTCCAGGCCGTAGTCCCACTCATCATAGGACACAGAGAGCAGCCCTGGAACACAGGACAATCAGAGAGGTTGATGAGGGCACAAAAAGTGTGAAGGTACAAATGTGTGTTAGTCATGTGTCAGCGGCATAAGAGCGATGTGGTGGAGCAGCTGACTGATGGTCTATCACCTAGCTGTATTTGTCCATCTGTCTGTGTGTTTGTGTGGCTTTCAGCTGTTTATCTGTCCTTCTGCCTGCCCTGTCCAGCTCTGTTTGTCAATGTTCACTAATTCACTTGAACTGTCTGGTCAACATGCCCTTCCAACAAGTCTTCCACCCATTTCCGGACAGCAAATGGCAATAGCCTCTTCCCCTTCCAGACCTTCTCTGGGTTTGGAGGACGAGGGTGGTTACAGAATGAATGGACATACGTCCACAGAAAAAAAACAAAAAACAAAACACTGCCAAATCCAGACAAGCAGCAGCCAGCTGTCAATCTGATCAAATATTACATTGCAATATCCTTATCAGCACAACCTGCATTTATTTATAGAGTTGCTGTCTGTATACGACCAGGTAGTGTAATATTATTGCACCACCAGGAATAATTCATTATGATTATTAATTAACATCATTACTCGTCTATAAGTAATTAAATACTCGTTGAAAGACAAGCCTCACACATTGCCCAACACAAAGATGCTGCTTACTACTGAAGGATAATGCATGTGTTCAAACTCAGCTGACATTTTGATAATGAGTTCCATTGATGTTAAACTGCTGTTATTGATAACATGATTAAATCATGACAAATACTGAGCATTAATTGATGACACAGTGCTGTGCTTGTGCAGGTAGCTGATCTCTTTTTAATGACCATGCACATAATACTCTTGTTCTTTCTGTCTGGATTTGATCATATTTGACCTAGGATCAGTGCACAAGGGCGCTTGCTTTCCTGGATATTTATGTTACTACAAAACATTTATTCATGTCAAGTTCAAGTATACAGTTTGACCTCTGCACTGACATGCAGCTGTGGCTGACAACTCAGCTTGTCCAATAAGCAGAGGCCTTCAGGATATGGCTGCTGATGTCAAAACTCTCCACTGACCTGATGGCTTCATACTCTGATATAATTCCTATAAAGGCTCTCTTTGTTCTCAATAAACTGTGACAAATGGCTATGTGCTTATGTGGCTCTTAATGGCCTCCTCTCTGTTGGACAGCGACAGGCTATGAGCACATGTCAGCCACAGCGCTCCCGTGTCAGTGGGCTGAAATAGACAAGCGCCCTGGTAACCTACGCCCTCCTGGGGCCTCGCCACTGACAGCTCCAACCCTCCAGGACCACATCTAATGTCAGACGCTGTTGACACTATCTCTGCACTCAACCACCTCCATCACAGTTCCTTTTTATGCACTGCTTTATATGGAGCACATGCTCTCAGAAAAGTGTAGTATCACAGTGAGTAGAGCCAGGAACTGGAACGATTGGTATAAAAAGTGTACATTTTGTGACAGCTCTCAGGGCAGGTCATGTAGCATCCTGAAACTACATGTGTGAATCAGTTCACTTAAAAGGTAAATGTCACAAGCACAACTGAATACAGATGAAAATGTAAATAAATCTAAATGAATGAATGAAGTATTTTTTAGAAGTATTTTTTGTGATGTCAGTTGGAGTAATTTGTACAGACCTTTGTAGCACTGAGTGTGCCAGTCTGTTCAAAAAAGAAAAAGAGCAAGAAGAACATGAAGGGAAGACACAAACAATTTGATGAGCTAGGATGAAGCAGTGGTAAAGATAAGACACAAAGATAGAACACAAACAGTGGCTCTGTAAAAACTACAACCGTGAGGCCTGGATGGATCTCTCCCTATGATTTTCTGTCAGAACCTTTGTTTTACTTTTTAAGAGATTTGGAAAAAATGCATTAAAGAAAAAAGCAGAGAATGTTCCTTGGACCCTGAAAATACTCCCGGTAAGCACACTGTTTTCACAACCAGTCAGTTTGTTACTGTAAATAGGAACATGTTATCCCTGAGAAAATAAATAATCAAATGAAAATAAATATAGTTCAAACATAAAGTTCGTTTTCACCAGTTGTTGTTTTCATGTGGGTGCACAATTGGAAACAACACACATACAACACATGCAATAATTGCACCGGCTAGTATGGGCAAGTGATTAATATGCTGCTGTTGTGCATTGACTCTAATAAATGTTTATCAGTCAGTTGTTTACCTTGCACTATAGGTGCCCATTATGTGGCTGGTATTATTGTCAAATCTTTCATCATTGACATTTAGCCTACAATCTGTCATCATGTCTCATATGATTCATCCTATGATAATTCAATGTTAGCTAAGAGGAGTCGTGTGTCCATCAACACAGCCACTCTGCCAGCTCCACTTTTTAAGCACCCAGCCGGCGCTTGAGCTAGTCACGATCATCACCGTGGCAACATAAATCAAGAGGAAAGTTGTGCTGTGATTTACATAACTGATATGGTCATAGATCAAACTTTATAGTGTGGAACTCCAATTTAGAAAAGACAAACTAATACAAACACACACAAGGGCCTCGGTTGGGAAGTAAACATCATGGTCTCAGCTGATGAAGCCTATTAGGCCACACTCTGTCTTTTGTCTTGCAAATTAATCCAAATCAGGCATTTCACAGACAAATGCACAAATACTCTAGACACAAAACACAATCCCAGGACCCACCTCACCCCAGACAACCATTTAGAGTAAATCATCCATGGTTGTCAATACCAGAGGCAGGGTAAAAACTTTGAGTTACTGTGCATGAGCTGTACAACAATCTCAGGTTCCCAGAAAATGCTGAGGACAGGCAGCAGTGTAATATCCACCTTTCATTGTAAATCAGGAAGCCAAAGCCCAACAAATTATCAGGCGTGTGCATCCGCCACAAATATACTACCTTCTCTTAGGTTCCAGTTGTGAAATCTTCCATTAGTTGTGAGGGTGCCAGCAGTGCTAAGAGGTAAAGTTTGGTTCCTACTGAGAGCTGGCCTTTCTGAAGAGGCTGGGACCACCCCCAGGAGCTGAAAGCCTGTTTGCTTGCACTGGAAGAGTGTGTTGCGTGAGCAGAGTGGTTATTCAACCCCAACTTCTATGTCATTTCTGTGTCCCTGCGCTGACCTTCAAAGGTTACAATGACCTCCAGTGGAGATGCAGAGGGAGACCTCTTAATAGGGAAAGGTCAGGCTCTTACCTGGCCTTGCCACAATTCACAAACAGACCACCTTGATTTGGGAGGAAATATTCCATATATAATGAGTGATGCTATGATGAACCAATACATCCATGGCCCACATTTCAGACCCTCTAGAATTAGAACTAAACTAAGATCTGAAGTAAAAAGTTTTGGAGTTTAAACGTCATTTGTCTCATTCAAGATTCTGAGCTACACTGGTGAGATGAGAGAGTAATAAAACTGCTCTGAAGGAGGAATTGCCAGTTGTTTAAAATGTATCACGTCATTAATTGTCTGAAGCAGCACTATTTGGCTACAGCAGTGCCATAACCCTTGCTATCAGACCACTCAGGCTGAACTGTACCTAAGAAGGTCAAATCAACAGTCACAGTTGAAGCATAAGTAGATTATGCTCCAACTTCCTTCTTATTTTTATTCTTGTTTAAAGCCATCAATCTTTTTTAGCCAGGTTAATGAACAATGGAAGGGTTAAATTTTTCATACAGACTTGGACCAAATGTGTGTCGAGAAAAGCATGAATTAATTAGCAGTTAATTAGCAGCTATGTACCTGTGGGGAACTCTGCAGGCACTACATCAGTGTCTCCTGCCACCAGTGAGGGCACGATCCAGGTAAAGCCATAGCCGGTGATGCCAACGGAGTGGGCCACCTCGAAGATGGTATTGGCCTCCTCCTTTGTGCAGTAGAGGAGAATGACGGGGCTCTGCAGCTTTTTCAACTGGTTCTGGATCTTTGAGTCACCATCGTCCACAGACATGTCCAGAAGTAAAACCTCCTCCAGTTCCCAGCCCACAAAGCTGTTCTCGATGGTGCTCCGGATCTGGAAGGAAACAATGAAAGTGGTATTTATGGGGAAAAAATATCAAATCATACACACAATAAAACTACAGACCTTTTTAATAGTCAACAATTAGGGCTGGGTGATATGATGATAATGAATAATTGAAAGTGACACTTTTCCCACTCACTTCTCCTCTCTGTAGGGCACTGAGTGAGAGACAGCTGGATTTAACAGTGTTTAGTAATAAAACTGAAAAGGCTATCTGACTCCAAGAAAATTGTGATTGTAATTTTTAGCCATATCGCACCCAGCTCTAATGACACTATCACTATTAATAAATTTTAATGTAAAAGATTGATTGTAGTGCATTTTATCTGAATGAGACATTTTATATACTGCCAATAAAACTGATGTTAATATGTGGGGATTTGGTTTCCCACATACACAGTTATGGAAGTAGTAAAATTCAAAAGCACAAAAACAGTATATGGATAATAGACAGTGAAAATGACCAAGCTTGTAGTATAAAAACTTACTGTGATAGAGTAAAAAGCGGTCAAAAATGTCAGAGGCACTCTGCTGGAATTATAATAAAAGTCCTTTAATAATTACATGGGGGCAAGCCAACACATTTTGACACAGGTAGTGACAGTGACAAAAGAGAGAACGGCTTTTTACTCTATCACAGCAAGTTTTTATACTACAAGCTTGGTCATCGTCACTGTCTGTTAGCTTTTGAGCTTTGCCTTGAGGAGCTGTTCTGGACTTTGAACTAAGATACTATGCCCTGAAGCTCTCACTTCTTCCATGTTTTTAATACACAGCTAATATTGCAATTAGATAACAATATACATAAAATCTGACAATCTGACATCAAATACATCCAATATAACAAAGCTATTTAAAAAGGCTGCTGAATTAAAAAAGAACACAAACTTGTAGTGCAATTAAAATGAAGCATAAAATGTCATATTAAGTGCATATTTTACAATCCCTTCACGTTTTATGCAATATTGGAACCTCAGCCAAGACGATACGTTTCAGCAAGTTTATGAATTTAAGATATCGTCCAAATATCGCCCTTGGGATAATATAAAGTGATATAAAAATATACACTTTGTCACATCACCCTCCCTTAAACAATGTAGAAAAGGAGACTCTCATGTGCACACTGTGTATTTACATTACATTGTATTAATTCATTTATTGCTTTGTGAGCATTTATGACCTGCGAAGGGAGTATATCAGTGGTAATTAATGCCACAACCCACCCTATTTGACTGCTATCCTTCTATAAAATAATACCTCAATCTGTCTTTAGTTTGATTTTTATGCTCCCTTTTCCGTCAGGGTTTGTCACATCCAACCAGTCACACAGTGATTTGATGGATGCTGTTCCTATGGCAATCAGCCACATTACTGTGACTGTGTGACTGGAGTAGGGCCTATGTTACCCAGGGACACAAAGACAGCATGTGCCGCAAACAAGCATCACGCCTCGGAGAGTGGAATACTTAACGACAGTGCAATTTGGCAATTTTCTGAAAAGTGTCAGAGTTTTGTAAGGGCCCATGAGAGTTGGGAACCGTTAAGTAGAGTAAAATGTTTTTTTAATTCCCAACACCATTGAGTCTTTGTACGACAAAATAAAAGGTTTATCCAGTTTCTTTCCCATTGTGTGTGTGTGGCGTCTGGTCAGAGCGCCGTTACCTTGGTGACGAAGTCCTGATAACCCGGGTAGTATGTGGTGACAATGGAGAAGATGTACCAGTCGTATTCCTCCATGATGTTGAGGATGACGGATGCCTGCTGTTCGATGGATGGGCCGAACTGAAAGAACATGGAGTGGTCATCCTGAAAAACACACAGAGAAGAGTGGCAGGATTATGCAACAGTAAAATGGCAGCAGCTTTCATTTAGTTGGCTTTAAACACGCAGAGACGGCTCAGTTACTGTTAGTGTGGCAATAATTCTGTGGGCTTTATTCAGGAGGCCAAGAGGGGACAGTGGCCGGCTTGTATTGATAGTGGTTGTGATTTTCATTAGGGGTCTTTATGACTTTTTTAATAAGCTTGTACATAGGGGTGGCTGGAGTGAAGTGTGTGCTGTCCTTGATAACATTGATCATTTCCTATAATTGGTTTTATTACAGCAGAGCAATAACAATGCTGACGTAGTGGCCTCAAATGAACTAATAGAACAGTAAATGTACCACCTGCCCTGTATCCTAAGTCACTCTATTTATGTAGTCTTAGATTAGTTAGATTAAGATTAATAAAAGGATTATATAAACAGTGCACAGAAAACATTCAATATGTATCTGAGCAAACCAATATATTAAAGAGGGAGTATTATACTCATGGAAATCACACATAAATAAAATTAGAAATAAATGATCCAATGTAATCGCAATTATATACAAATATAGATATATCCTAGATAAAAACTGTCTTTTTTATTAAATACAACTCGCTGGTAATGCCCTACATAACCTACTGTATTGAGATTTGGGGCAATACATATAAGACTAATACAAATCCAATCTTTATCTTGCAAAAAAAAGGCAATCACATTATCAACTTACAATGAATCAACCAATGTGTTATTTATAAACCTTCAAACTCTGAAATTTTATGATTTAGTAGACCTCTACATTTTGAAAATCATGTTCAAAGTAAACAACAATCTTTTACAGAATATGTTCAAAATCTGAAATAGCCAATAGCTCAGAGGTAAGGCCATGTTTATCAAAAAGAAAATCAGAACAAACATTATGAATTTTTGTGTATCTGTTAAAGGGGTGGAGCTCTGGAACAACTGTACAGAAAACCTAAAATTGTTCACCACTTTCTTCCATTTTATGAAAAAGTTTAAATGTTTAATTCTGGGCAGATACATGAATTATGATACTTAGTTTGTGCTGTAGTATTTTGTTGTACTGTTGTTGATTTGTTTGTTTCCTCTTGCTGTATTTAGATGAAGATGAACTGGTGTCAAGATGATGCTCTGATAAAGCAATAAATGGTAATGCAGAATAAGCTCAAGCTTCAGCCTACACCTTTTTGGTCTGTGTATGTTAAATATGACTGTCTGTGAAATAAATCAATCAGTCAATCAATCAGTCAATCAAGAGTATTATTCGTAAACACATAACATATTTCACCATGTTACTTTTTATTGTTAAGGATTAAAATGTTTATTAAGTGTCAGTTTTGCTTTTGACACTCTGAGTCCCTGCTCCCCTAGCTCTCTGTGCTAAGTCACTCCCCCGTCAGAGTGCTATAATAACACAATCAGCATGCCTTCTGCAAATGAAACAGCTGTATCCTGCTTTTGTATATTTATGAAGAACGGTTGTGTGGGAGCATGGTTTATGTAGAATCCGTGTATCATTCATTCGTTTGTCAAAATAAAACCAAAAATAAGAAAATGAAAAAAAAAAAAAAATTTCTTCATTATTTGTCTCCAAAATCAAAATGGAAAAAAAAACAAAAAACAAAACGGATAATGATAAGTTTTTTCAGTTTTTGATTTTGTGTTTAAATGAATAATGGAAAAAACAGATAACGGCCGTTTCCTGATTCCGTATCTTAAACTGCAATGCCAGACTGAACCAGGACTGAACCAGGACTAAACCAGGACAAAAACAGGTCTAAACCAGGTCTAAACCAGGACTTAACCAGGACTTAACCAGGTCTAAACCAGTCTCAGTCCTGATCACAGTCCTGGCCTCAGTCCCAGTCTAGTCCTGGTCTGGTCCTGGTTTCCTGATCACCCAACAATCTACGTGGGCGCACCTCTGGGCCCGTACTGACACTCCTGGTTAAGTCCTGATTCAGTTCTGGTTCAGTTCTGGTTTAGTCCTGGTTTATGACTGAGACCAAGATCAGACAAGGACTGAGACCAGGACCAGACTGGGACCAGGTCGTGACCAGACCAGGACTGAGACCGGTTAAGACCTGGTTTAGACCTGTTTTTCCTGGTTTAGTTCTGGTGTCGACCTGTTTTAATACTGGTTTAGTCCTTTTTTAGTCCTGGTTTAGGCCTGGTTTAGATATGTTTTAGTCCTGGTTTAGTCCTGGTTCAGTTTTGGTTTAGTCCTGGTATATGACTGAGACCAGGACCAGACCAGGACTGAGACCAGCACCAGACCAGGACCAGACTAAAACTGAGATCAGGTCTGAGACTAGTTTAGACTTAGTTTAGACCTGGTTTACACCTGTTTTAGTCCTGGTTTAGACCTGTTATAGTCCTTGTTTAGTACTGGTCCAGCATCGCAGTTTAAGTCACGGAAACAGGAAACGGCCCTTATCTGTTTTTTCCATTATTCATTTAAACACAAAAACGAGAACTGAAAAAACAAATTGTTATCCATTTTTTTCATTTTGGTTTTGGAGACAAATATTGAAGAAAATTGTTGTTTTTCTCAATTTTTTTAATTTTTGGTTTTATTTTGAAAAACAAATGAACGAATGATACACGGATTATGTGGGCTTGTGGGCTGAGCACTGTACAGACGCATACTCCTAACTAGGGCTGGGCGATATGGATCAAAAAATATATCTCGATATATTTTGCTATATCTCGATATACGATATATATCTCGATATATTTTCAAGAAAAAATAACCCCCTAAAACTGAAAACTGCAAAAACAAATCTGCCAAATTCCACAAGGTCCTTTTTTTTTAATTGAAGTGTAAGAGGTTGGCAGTTCATATAGGAAAATTTAAGATTACAAAAAACCCTAATTACATAAATAATTTAACTGTAAAATAAAATAAATAATACATATTTCCTTCTTTTCATTCATAAATAAAACAACTCAACTCAAGCTCATCTTTGCATTAACTCTGTTATCCAAACCAGAACCATAACCATGAGCTCATTTAGCAGAAGAAGCTCAGGAAGTTCCTTATTTCAACAGATCCATGTTCCTGTCCAGCAGTAAAGAGCTCTGAGGTTTAATCCCACAATCCACTGCAGATCAAACCCAACGTTTCCAAACACAATTGTACAAGTGACACTGCAGCAGATTATTCATTAAAATCTTCTGCATAAATAAACTTTACATTGCTAAAGTTTACAATATATAAAACATAACGACTCTGGAGCCACATCAGCCCGTTTGCGATAATAATGTGTTTAATGCAGTTTTGCGCACGTGTGTTTACATTTTACAGAAACGAAACTTAAGCGCATGGCTCATTTGCATAAACAGCGCACTTCTCACGCCGCTCAGCTCGTTTAGCTTCTTTCGGGCTAAAGGACGCGACTCGGTGGAATATGAGGATGTGCTGTTGATGGTCTTGTCTGTAAATGGTGGAAAAGGTTCGTGGTGCTTGAAGCTTTTCACTGGCACCAACTTTCGGCATTTACGGTGATAGTGAGAAGTGAAGGAGACACGAGCGAACAAAATCAGGGAGGCGGGGGCGCGCGGGCGATGTGAGAGAAGGTAAACAAGCGAAGCGGCGAAATCAGAATTGAATATAACCATTATATCGATATATACGATATGTCAGAATTCATATCGAGTTTAAAAACTATCTCGATATATTTAAAATATCGATATATCACCCACCCCTACTCCTAACCTTAAGGAAGTTAGTGCCCAGGAAAGATCACTAGATTACTCAAACATGCATGGATGACATAAACAACATTTAAATTTGCAGAATGTGATAAAGCAATATATAACCTTGGACTGCAAAATACATACACACTTAACTTTCAACAGCGAGGGTTTAAAAGCTCATTAAGAAAAAAAAAACACCTGACCGAGGACTCTCTGCAATCCAAAACCATCGGAGGAACTTATTTATCAGAAGCAAGAACAGCTTTCAAAGGACTGATTGGTCACGCTCTTGAAAAAGCTACAGACACAAATACAGAGTTCAGATAATGAATGCATACAACAGAAGATTTGGAAACAGACACTAAATCCCTTTTTGCCCGTCTCAAAGTGTTTTCCTGAGCTGGACAGAAGAAGAGGAGGAGGAGGTGTGAAAAATTAGTCTAGACTCCATGACATGTTATTGTGGCTGCACGTGTGAGTCAGACCTTCTCCTGTACGCACCATACACTAGGCTGTTTATATAACTGGATATCCATGCTTTATGTGTGCTTGTGAATGGGATTTTTAAAAATGTTTTATTGTACAAAATGAGTGGTAGCTGACAGCCCAGGCATTTAGACAGGCTGTTAAATCTCCCTGGCTTTTGGAGGGCTCTTGCTGTCTGCGCTTCACTCAACATCAAAGTCTAACCTGGCCCTGCCGGGGGACCACATGGGCTGATCCGTTACCTTGTTTCTGCATTAATGAGATCAGGCCTATATTGTAAGGGTGGCATGTGGAGAGCTACAATGCCAAATGTTCCTGCCAGTGATGAGGGTAATTTGCTAGAAAAACATGTCATTATTATCATATTGTTTTGATGTATACTAGGGGTGTAACAATACGATATCATCACGGTATGAACCTCACGATATAATATTTATTGCAATATAGTGGGAAGGCTCACAATTACGGATGTAACGATATCCAAATCTCTCTCTATGATATTTATTGTGATATTTTGTGGAGGCAAACAAAACTGTTAATATGCTATTTTTTAAGACTTAATCCAAAGAACTAAGACTTAAAAGTGCTTAGAACTGTTATTTCTTCGTGTAGTCTACACTGAAATGGAGCAAAGGATCATGGTCTATGTAGTTCCCTCTTTGTAGTCTGTACAAGCCTCTGTAGTCTTATTTTTATTGCTGCACCATAACTCTTAATTTAACTTGAGGCCTGTGACCTGAGAAGACTTGAGAAACACTTATAAATCTGATTTCTTGTCAAGACATTTAAAAATG